CCCCCCCCCCCCCCCCCCCATCTGTGTTGCTGCTGACTCATTGTCACAGCTCCTGAATCTGCTGCCTGCTTGCATTATTCACACACACACTCACCTTTCTCTGCTAGAGCCTCCTCTGCACCTGGAGCCTAAAACTAGAGGGGTCTGAAACCAGAGGGAGGCTGACACTAGAGGGCCTGAAAGCAGAGCGCCTGAAACCAGAGGGGGCTGAAACCAGAGGAAGGCTGACACAGAAGGACTGAAACCAGAGGGGCTGAAACTAGAGGGGGCTGAAAGTAGAGGGGCTGAAACTAGAGGGGGCTGAAAGTAGAGGGGCTGAAACTAGAGGGGGCTGAAAGTAGAGGGGGCTGAAAGTAGAGGGGCTGAAACTAGAGGGGGCTGAAACTAGAGGGGGCTGAAACTAGAGGCAGCTGAAATTTGAGGGGGCTGAAACTAGAGGGAGCTGAAACTAGAGGGGGCTGAAACTAGAGGGACTGAAATGAGAGGGCCTGACACTAGAGGCAGCTGAAATTTGAGGGAGCTGAAACTAGAGGGAGCTGAAACTAGAGGGAGCTGAAACTAGAGGGACTGAAATGAGAGGGGGCTGACACTAGAGGGACTGAAATTAGAGGGCCTGACACTAGAGGGAGCTGACACTAGAGGGCCTGACACTAGAGGGAGCTGAAACTAGAGGGAGCTGACACTAGAGGGGGCTGACACTAGAGGGCCTGAAATTAGAGGGCCTGACACTAGAGGGAGCTGACACTAGAGGGAGCTGAAACGAGAGGGGGCTGACACTAGAGGGAGCTGACACTAGAGGGCCTGACACTACAGGGAGCTGAAACTAGAGGGAGCTGAAACTAGAGGGCCTGACACTAGAGGGAGCTGACACTAGAGGGCCTGACACTAGAGGGAGCTGAAACTAGAGGGGGCTGACACTAGAGGGGGCTGAAACTAGAGGGAGCTGAAACTAGAGGGGGCCGACACTAGAGGGAGCTGACACTAGGGGGCAGTTCCGGGTTGTCTATTTTGCCCACATGCCGAGCTACACCAAAGCCAGAGCCGAAAAATATTAACAAATAACATATTAGTCATACTAGATTAAATGATTACTTCGAAAAAGAACCTTGCAGATGAATCAATAATGAAAATAATTTAAAAATGCAGCCCTAAACAGGAGTATGTTTGGATTGGCTTCCTGGGAACTGCAAAGATGAAGATAAATACATTTTAAACCATGTGCATATTGAGTCACCTGATTGAGCTATCCAACAGTAGAAATAGTGAGGCCACTGTACGAGTATCAACTGTGCTCCTCCCTGCGTCTGCCAGAAGACCTACAGGACAAAAAAATAAGTCTGTCTTGCAGGCATCTACTGCTGCATTGGCCTGAGAGAGTGCAGAGCGGCAAAACGCACACATGCTCGGCTCCCGCTGAAGAGACAAACATATGGTACTGAACAATGTGATTCAATGTGTTGCATTTAAATCAGTTAATGTGCTAAATAAAAACTTAAAAATGTAGGAATTGTTATTGTGTGAATAATCATGTAGATTTGAGAAACTGTAGCATCAGTCAGTGTGTGTAACCTTGTGTGTGTGTGTGAGCGCTCGACTGCAGCGCTTCATCACTGACATAAAGTCCTCTGCCCCCTAGTGGAAGACATTGGAAGCAGAAAGAGTGATTTATAGTGACCTTCCTGAGGGGTTTTACAAAGTATGGTGGTGAGTACTTTAAAGTTTAAATATTTATACGTGCACATGTTTGAATCAGGGTGCTGAGAACACAACAGCAGACAAACACCAGATCTGAGTTTTCAGTTTTATTTAAGGTTCATTTTTCCAGACCTGCAGAGGACAGTTCACTTCCTTTTAAGCGCCTCGATTTTGTTTTCGTTTCCCCCCCCCGCGCAACACCATGTTAAAACCCACTGTAGGACTCTGTGTTGGCTTCTCCTGGATGAGTTTGTTCATTTTTGTGAAATACTGTTAAATAGGGAACAGCAGGAGGGGCGGGGTTGGGTAAGAGGGAGAGAAAGAGACAGAGCGAATATGGATCAGAATTAAGACTTCAAAAAAAGAAAAAAAGGCGGTGGTCGGAGAGGTCGATCTCGAATCCTAAAGGCTGAAAGCTCCTTAAATCACTACTACAGTACGTGGTATGGTCTTGCAGCACCTTACTTTGGGACATACACTCGCATACAGTCGCTGAAGTCATACAATATTGCATATTTTTTTCAGCAATCGTTGACGCTATACTCCTCCTCCCATCACTCCTTTCATCTGTCCATGTTAAGGCCTCGTTTAAGCCCTCGTGGGTTGAACAAAGGGACCTGTTCACCCTGTTGCTACCCTCTTTAGTATTTGTTTTTGACATATCCTCCTCCATCATTGTCTCATCTACGTTGTGGCTGTCCATGTTAGGGCTAGCTACTGTAGGTACCACACAGTGGCACTGTGAGTAAGAGTCTAACCCTAGTGCTCAGGATGTGTGCCACGATCTCCCAAAGCCCCGGCGCCCCGCGGTTAGGCAGTGCTCTATCCTCTGATACAGAGGTTCAGCAAAATTTTCCCCTCCAGCAGGACGGGGCCAGTGGGAGCCCCCCTCTAACGGGAATGTGGGCCAAGCGGCCTCTGGAGCGGGCCGTCTGTGTCCCTACCTAACAGGGAGCCCGTGCATAGCCTGTGCCCTCAACTCCCCTGTGCCATCTGCATTCACTCTCTAATAACCAAATCTCAGCTTCTTTCTTTTTTTTTTTAACATTTTCTTTTTTAAAACCACTCTCACAAAAAAAAAGAAAAGCTAAGTGCCAACCCCCCCCTCCTTTCTCTCTGTCTCTCACCTCGCCGTCTTCACAACTTGGCTGTGAGGGTGAACCGCTTCAGTCTCCTGTTAACGTGGAGAGGATGAGGGTCTTTGGGGCAAAGCTTCTAGAGCAGATTCACAGCTTGCTTCATTCCTCGAAAACTTAATCGTGACTTCAACTCTCAAAAACACAAATGTTGTTCATGCTTAATCATTTAGTTACTTTTTAAAAAAGGTCTCCCCTTCAGCTAACTTTGTTTCTTTCGTCAGTTTGTGGAGTTACGTCTCGTGTCACCGCTGGGCACTCGATGCCGTACTGTTTCTCGTGCTCTCCGATAACAGTGAGCTACACAATGAATCCCATGTTACGCCCAGAACTAGGTCTAATGAGTGGTGATAGTAGTAGCAGGTAAAGGGGTACCGATAACTTGTGTGCCACAAACAAAAAACAAATAGGCCAAAAGGAAGGAGGAAGAGAAAAAGAAGAAAGCATGTTTGTTACTTTGTTAATCATTTTTCATACTCTGCAGATTGGTGTGTATTGCATTGGGGGAGGGGGGGGGGGGGGGGGGGGGGTACAGGATGAGTGGGTATAAAGTGGTAGTGGGGGAATGGATGGGTGTCTGCTGTAGTCTGTGTTCAGTGGCGGTCCACAGCGGCACTCTGTAGCAGCTCTGTGGCGGGCTGTCCCTGGGGTCTGAAAGCGGTCTGGAAGCCGGGGGGAGGGGAGTGGAACTGGCTTGCGGGGTTGGCTGTGGGGGGGGGCATGTAGGGAGCCCAGCCGCCGGCGGCTCTGTGGTGGAGGGGGAGGTGGGCGTCGAGGAGGCCGCTGTGGAGGGGCTGGGGAGGAGTGGGCACCGCTGAGCTCGCCGGGCCGTCCATCTCTGTGAGCGCCTGCAGGGACTTGAGCCAGTGTGGAGGGTTGTCGTCCTGGAGACAGTCTAAACTGTTGCCTGCTGAGGCCGGGATGCCTTGGGGGGAGGGGGGGGGGGGAATAAACACAATTTAACACAACAGCACCGCAGTAAACGCATATAATGTGAAGATAATTTAGCTTTGTTTTGATGACATAATGTGGCCTTCTGGTACTAAAAGTTACTTTGACTCATTCAAAACAATTGTGATTTTCAGAACTCAGTTAAAGAAGATCAAGTCAAGTCCAAAACACAACATTGTATATAGAGCAGAAAGGATTCACCTATTAATGAACTTTAAAATAAAAAAAGCTTCACTTTACAATTTCTACCTGTGATGATAGCAGGGTCCATCCAACTGGCTGTGCCGTCCCAGCTCAGGCTGTGTGAAATGCCTGCTGGCCCTATCGGTCCACCGATGTGGTTAACACTGTTGGAGGATGAGGAGGATGACGAGGAAGAGGAGTTTGGGAGGCCCCCGAAATTGATATTGATGTTGGGCAGGAGAGCTCTTAGGCCATCCTGCCACTCTTTCACATTTAATCCGTCTATAGAGCCACTGTTTTCTGCAGGAGGAGAAGAAGAAAACAGGTACGTCAGTTCATCAGGTGTTTTGATCACCGACTAGTGGTCAGTTGCAGAACTGCACCGACCAGCATTCCCAGTGTAAGGTCCATAAACGCTACACAAAACAAGTATCACACATCACACAGTGTGACTTTAAAAAACACCATTACACCAGACATCTGATCAGAGAAAGGTGCGGCGGCGGCCCAGATGTCAGGTACCTGAGATGGGGATCCCTCCCAGCCCTGTGTTGTGCTGAAGGGGCAGATTCAGGTCCAGGAAATTACTGTGTGAGGCAGCACTGGCTGAGTGGTTCAAGTGTGTGAGGTTATTTCGCGTCGGGACGCCCATCCAGGGGTGTCTGGCGGCTGGCAGCTGCTGACTGGCCTGGCTGTTCTGGCTGCCCGGGAAACTGAAGGAGCTGTAGATGGCTCTGTGGTGGAGCTGGGGGAGGCGTGGCAGGCCGCTGGGGAAGTGGTGAGAGGCGCTGGGGTTCGGGTTGAGAGGAGGCAGGCCGAGGCCGTGGTTGCTCCCGCCGTGGGAGAGGAGCCCCGGGGAAAAGGGGCTCTGATCCTGCACTGACAGCTCCTTCTCTATCAGGTCGGCCAGGGCCTTGCGAGTGACGTCGAAAGGATCGAAGCCCAGATCGTCGTCCTGCTGTTTGCTGGACGAGCCGAAGCCGAAGGCCGCCTGCCAGTCTGTGGAAGAAGACACTGGTATTGTGTCTGTGAGGACAGAAGAGAGACGCGTTACTGGAGCTGTCCTCCAAGTCAACTCTTTAGTCGACTAGCCATAGGATCTTTTTAGTTTTCAATCTGGCTAGGAGTGTGTTCTCATTAGATTACATGTGCGTAGTCTCTTGAACTCGCAACTGGAGCAAAGTAACGCTACATCTAGTCTGTGACTGTAAGACACGATTCAGACACAAGGCTCCACAAGCAGACACACGTCAGCGAATACATGATATGAATATATGATAAGAGAATATCTAGTGATGTATTTATTTGCCCTCGTCCGTTTCACACTGCTAGGGTTACAGCTGAAAGAATAAGGCTAAAACACATTCATTTAACAGAATACACACATGTAATTCAAGTCAGATCTATCTTGCTCTCGATAGGCAGCGATATTATAAATCTATTGATTTACACAGTCACACAGATTCATTGCAAGCAGTCTATTTTTTGCATGTGGTTTGACTTTAACTTCTTCGTATTTGTGAAATATTATCGACCGATCAATGAACCGAGTTTTGATTGGTCAGTAAGCGGTGCTTTCATATGAGTTGATCTCTGATCTCATAACCTTATCTTCATCTCCAGAACAGGTTAGGTGTTCAGCGTAAGAAGTGAACCTCCATCTTAGGACTGAAAACCCAGCGTGAACCCTGAAGTTACCTCGCTGAACCCAGATCCTGCTTCATAGTAAAGGCCTCAGATCAACTCCTTCCATTCTGACCTTTCACAATAAAAGCCCTAGACACACTGTAACTGTTCACAAGAGGGAACTCAAGTTCACTCAGAGGACTCTGCTCTTGGTCAATAGGATCCTGGCAGTTTTAATTAAATTGGCTTTACAATCTGTACAGTATACGACAGCCTCTTTCCTTGGATTATTGCACCACTAAAGGAACCAGTGTGGGTTGCAGGTCAACGCACTGCTTGAATATTAAGACAAAAAGCACAACCAATCAAGCACTAAAGACATGCAAAAGGTTTAATCAGATCTCCATTGTACCTGATGTGAAGAGGCTCTGTGGTTCAGGGGTCATGGGCCAGTCAGAATTGCTGCGGGGGGAACTGGGGAAGGGGGGCAGGCCAGCAGGGAGAGGGTTAGGATGTCTGAAGTTACTGTTGTCTGAAAAGAGCGACTGGGACTCAGCTGCCGCTCCCTCGAAGGGTGAACGGGCTGTGAGGTCTGACATGCTGATGGGCACCACGAGGCTGGGCTTGGTTAAACCAGGGGGAGGAGAAGGGGAGTCACTGGTGGGTATCTGGAACAAAAGAGAGAGAGAGAGGGGGAGGCGTTTGTGAGGTTGTCCTGGATCACCTTCATCTATATGGAAATAAAAATGGGAGATGAGGCTTTTCACCTGTAGTAAAGTCTCTCCATTGACCATACCGATCGACTCTGGAGGTTTGTCACTGGGACTGCAGGTAAACAAGTGACACACTTAAATGCATATTCAAAGATATGATGCGCATAAAATGTTTGAATGCTGCGTTTACAAACAGCGACCAACAATAAGACTACATATTATTCCTTTAACAAAAAAGAAAAGCTTTAAAAAATATGAATAAAATCATTTTGTTCAGGATATGTTGGTGCCATCGTCCAGGAGGAGTCGACATTACCTGTTGCTGTCACAGTTAGAGGAGAAGGGGGACAATGCAGAATGCTGACCAAGACCCAGATCTGTTTCTAGCCCATCTGAAGCCATAGCTTCTTGGTCTAGATAGTCTAGCAGCGGAGGAGACTTGCGGTCCTCTGAAAGCCCGTTGGCCAGTTTGTTGTGTCCTGACAGCGTCGGCCATCCATCTTTACCATTGGTGCTGTTGGCTCTGTTACAAAACAGCAGAACAATCGAGCTCAGCACAAGTGGACGTAATAAGAGACGGATAGACGGAAATAAAAAACACCAACCTCTGTGTGGAGTTGGATTTACTCTTTGACTTCTCTGTTCCACATGCTGGAGGTTGTAGAAAGCTAGGGTTAATTTTATAGAGGTCTTGGAGGAGTTTCTGCTCATACTCTTGATGTTTCCCTGCCTAGAAAACGAATGGCACAATATGAGTCAGCATTAATCATTTTGTTAATGAACAATTTAATTCACATTTCAGAAAGAGAACAATATTTTACCTGCATTTCCTCTTTAGTAAAGCTAGCTGCTTCATCCCCCAGCTCATGTAGATACATACAATCAGGTTTGGGACACTGCATACTTTTAAGGAAGTAACTGCAGTACTTTGTTGTGCCTAAAGAAGCCTGCGACAGAGAGACCAAAGAGAAGCGATGGTTATGGAGCTTTCTTAAAAGGACTTTTAGTTTAATGGTACCATTTTATATTGCAGGTTGTTTAATAAAAGGATGTTTACATCTTACAGACAGGAAGGCGTGGCTTCTTTATGCAAATCAAACTAATCATAGTCACATAGATACGCAGCTGTTAACTTCTCACCTTGAGGGTTCTGCCATCAACAACTACATTGTTCACACACTGTATTGCTCTTAAAGCATCTTCAGAGCGGATGTAAGTGACATAAGCGCTGGCACTGGGCCCCTGAAAAAAAACAGACAATAAGGTCAACACATCTACTGTAGCTGCAATTCTGTTACAGTGAGGACAAAAAACTAAATCATATGCAACTAAAAAGAAACAAATCTTGGTATATGCAAAAAAAGAAGAAGCCCAAAACACATAGAAAAGCTATGTTTACAAAAATACCTGTGTCGTGTAGACAAGGCTTAAGTTCTAATAAAGTTCTAAAACATATCAATTGTGAGAACATCCCGTCAGCTTTGATCCACCCTCTCACCTGTGAACCTGCGTAGGATGTGCTATTGTTGATGACCACTTTATGGATTTTCCCAAACCTCCCAAAATACTCTGGTCGTTTTAGGACCTGTGGGCAAAATGCAAAAAATATATATATTTGAATATCACTTATCACAAAGTTTTGGGTGCACTGTGATCTCATGTACACAATATTCAACACAAGCTTTACTCTTGAGGCTTCAGAGGGAGGTTTTACTGAAAGACATTTAAAATGTGCATTAAAATAATTCAGTATCGGTGGAGACACTGTACTCACCTCTGGGTCAGCGAGTCGCTGTGAGAGCCCCACCACGAACACCAGGTTTCTCTGGACTACTCTGACACTGGCCAGGTGCTTTCGGTTTTCTGTCACCTTCTGCTTCTTCTCGTTCTGTTTCTGCTTCTTTTCGTTCTTTATCCTTTGGATCTCCTCCTGTGAGAGAGGCTTGTACACCGCGGGGTCCTCTGGGTACGGCTACACAAAAACACAAAGACAATGATGGTGATATCCACCACTTGTAGTTTAAATGATGTGGCTTTTCTAAAGGACAGTGGGTAACGGAGAACTTTAGTTGTAAATATGGTAGTTCAACAGGCAACACTAGCCACACTGCTGAGGCTGTCAATTGTAAATGATGAGCTGATGTCTTAACAAAGAGATGTACTTTATAATGGGGAATCAAAAGATTTTCTCCCCCCTATATTAGCCTTGGGACACTCAATATCCTCATCCCTTCTGTCTGTCAGGACAGAAAAATCCCCCTTCAGTTGTGATGAGTTTCTCTGCCATCGTGTCCATGTCATCATCATCATCATCATCATCATCATCTCCTTACCTTTCTGCAGGCGGGGCAGAGGCCGTTCTCATCTGTGCGGATGCGATGCCAACAGAAGCGGCAGATCTGATAGCCACAGGTGCAGGGGAAGAAGTTGACGTCATCAATCTCCAGCGGCTCCATGCACAGAGGGCACTCCATGGGGTCGTCCTTCAATTCAGGGCTGTGGGACATCCTATGGTGTGGAGACGGGGGGGTGGAGTGCTGAAGCTGGCCACAGAGCACAGGGCTGAGAAAACATAAAAAAAAGTTGAGTTTAAGAGCTCCATCATGACATGATTTAAAACGACATTAACTGAACCACTCATTTCTACTAACTGAAAACTGACTTTATGACTACCACGGTCACTACATCAGACTGAGCACAACATTAAACATTTCCAGCAGCAAAGGAAACACTCACTCTGTTAGGTCCAGCTAGCTAAACTACTACAGTCTACTGCAATACCTAATATTTTACTTTAATGATGAAACTTTTTAGGGAGGTGTTGATTCAACGGCATGGTCCTTGTGGAAGTTGTTGGTGCTGGTGAACTGCACTGTGCTTTAGGCGGAGATGTTTCTAATGTTTGGGCTTCTGCATTTAAACCACTGAGGGTAGATTTCATACCGGTAACTGCTCTCAGTCCATTTCAGAGCTGAAACAAAAGCGTTCGACAGAAAGGGAAATATCGATGATCAATTAATCTCTTTAAGTAGCAATCCCAAAGACTTTTATTTAAATACATATCTATCGCCAAAGGTGGGAACACAATGGCGATTAAGCCTATGATTAAATATACTTACAGTATTACATACTGGGTGTATGTGGTGAAACACATTTTCTGTACGCACAATGCCTATAAATATGATGATAAAGTTGAATCAAGGCCTTTCTAAAACAATTTCAAGAAGAACTGAATGTTATAACCTCCATGGAAGATTGAGTTATCGCAGAAGTTTGTGATTGCATTAGTTTAAGCTCAATGTGTCTGATAAAAAGACAACTGATGGCATTTCTCAGAAATCTAGTAAAACAGCTGTCATCGTGTTGAAGTGATAATGAGGATGTTGTGGTATCTTTCGGGGGTTGACAAAAGTATTCACCTCCTCATAAGGGAAATGCAACAAACTGCGTTTATTTACAACCTTTCCTTGGTAGCAGTTAGACGTCAGCTTAGTTTCCGCGTGACAACACTGCTACCAGCAGGTGAACTCATGACAAACCCAGATTTATCAAACCTGACAGTGTAAAGTTTAATCTAATGCTGCCAGAAAAATGCCCAACATTTAAAATACTTGGCAGCATTTTGCAGACAGATTAACACGTACAGGAGTGGTTCTGCTGCTTCACTCGCAGATATCAGCTGATTAATAAAGTCGTGTATGAAATACCTGACGTTGGTTAAGGTTAGCCAGGCTGGTAACTTTAGCTGCTCTGCCTACTGGATTTTACATTATGACAGATGTTATTTGACCAACGTTAGGCTAAGCTAACATTAGCCGCGAATTGGTAAAAGAAGCCGGTCTACCTAATAACACGTATTCAGGAGTATTTGTAGGTAACATCACAACATCGAAATATACAGAGGTTATTATTTACTTGGTATTAGCATTAAACGGTTAAAGATATAGATGCCACAACGGTACGCCTTCTCCTACATATAAACTGACAGCTTGCTTTTATGCTAACCGCTAGCATCAGCGTAGCTAGCATGCTACATTCTCATCAGATGTACGGGGTTTTGATGACAAGCTTACGACGCGGCCTACACAAGCTAACGCTGAACTGGGAGCAAGTTGTTGGCACTATAAACAACTGACATTGCTCTCACGACATTTAGATTACCTGGACAGCGATCTAATAAGCCCGAGAACACTCCAACGGAAGACTGAAAAATCTTAACGGACAGAACTGTCTTTTATTTATTAAGAGAATGGAAGCTGGCTAGCCCAACTAGCAACTCGGCTAACGTTACTTACCCTGTCCGTATTTAGCTTAGGATTCCACTCCAAGGGAGTCACACCAAATTGGGCGGGGACTGCGAGCCAATGTGTCTGAAATGTCCAAATTTCTATAACCGGTCACTTAAGATAACCGTCGTTTTGTTGTTCTGTTGTGATTAAAAGGCTATAGAGATGTTTTGCCCCTCTCTTTTCTTAGTATTGTAGAGACAATTTACGCTCAAACCACCATCTTAGCTAGCATTAAAGTAGGGAGGAGGGAGCTGGGCAAGTGTTCAGAGCGACTGAGTCTGCGCAGATGAACAGATGCTTTGTGGGAAATACAGTTCTCGGTGACGTTGAGCTGGAACCAGGGACACATTTCCTAAAAACTTGTAGTTATTTAAATTGTTTACACACAAAAAATGCATTTATGAGAGAAATATTGATCAGTTTATAAAATATGTCGGATTGTCAGTAGTTAAATCAAACAAGTAATCCAACAGTACAAGAAGTAGTTAAAATTAACTACCCCTTGAACACCATGTCAAATTCCTTGTATGTGCAACCTTGGCAAATAAACGTTTCTGGTTCTAGTTCTGGTTCTGGTTCTGATTCTGAACAGCAACAACATTTGAGAATTTTGAATGCCGGATTTGTACTTTTTTATTTGTAATTTGTTTGAGTATTTTACACCAACAAAAGGATTTAAATTTGAATATAATGGTTTCAGTGAAACCCTGTCATCTTCTAACATTAATTTACACAGTCACTATTTCACATGATGGTTTCTCAAATTTTAAGGCTAAAATTATAAAATTAACAAACGTAATAAACCCAATTTTCACACATTTCTTCCAAACATATTTGAAAATATTTTTAATTTATCCACATGAAGCTGGGTTTGGGCCAATCCTGACGGACTTTGTTGGGATCCACAGAGTCTGAGGTGAGCGTAGGGGCGATGGGGTGCGATGATGCCAGGGACAACCGTGCAGCCAGGAGGCCCATCCGAACACAGCTGTCCGTGTCTCTCCGCTGGAGAATCCCAGTCAGTAAAGCACCTGCGAGGCTGCAGACAGAGCTGGGATGAGTGCCGGTATGTTTGAATGTTGTTGAGTCAAAATTTTATTGTGAGTGAGAGAAAGTGTGACACGAACAGGAAGAGGTCATGAGAATTGAAAAATGGGTAAAACTGAAGCAGAGAAAGTTTGTAATTAAAATAAGAATAGGGACGAGAAAGGAGGTCAAGTAAGTTTTTAGCACCTATCTCCTGCTCCAGACACATTCATTGTCTCCTCTGCTGTCACGGTCAGTGCTGGGTAGTGGACAGCACAAAGCTGCCTCCTCTGCAATCACATGTGCAATAAACATCTTCACTTTCACTGTCGTAGTAATCATCATCATTGCCAGTTTTAGATACAAGTTGTCCTTACCCTCTTCTGTTTTCTTGGCTGCAGGTTGACAGAGCCTGCATCATGCTCTCCGCACACCAGCACTCCACCAGCCCCCAGAGTCACCACCAGACAGTGGATGTGCTCCAGCAGGGGGCGTGAGAGAGCCACAGCAACACTCAGCACCTCTTCGATAGAGCTCGGAAGCACTGCCACCCAGCAAGACAAAACCACATCCTCAATCACTAACACACCATTTGCATTTTTTTTTACAAGAAATTTAACTCCAACAACTATATGTGGGAATATGTGTTTGAGATGAGGGAATAAAGAAAAAGAAGATTAAGATGCACATTAAGGAATGAAGTTTACCTTCGGGTGTTGGGAAACCCAGTGTTTTGTTCATGGTGAACAACTCTGCCAGGTTTGGAGATGAATAGGACAGAGACTTCCAGGCGTCTGACAGGAAAGGCTTGGAAGCCTTTTCTGAATCCGTTGGCTCATACCAAACTGTGACACATTGATTGTGTTGTATTCAAATCAGTGAAAGCTTCTGATCGCATACATTCATAGTGACCATCTCCATATGCTTACCATTAATGTTGTGTTTTCTGGCAATGGAGCAAACATAGTCGATGGTGGAAACGGGAATGTTTCCATCGAGACACACAAGAGTGGCTGATGAAAGCTGCTTCACAAACTGTGACACCTACAAAAATATATTTGAAGAGATAATAATAAAGAAATATCAATTAAGTAAGTAAACTTTATTCCTAAAAAAGACGTGCAGCAAGAATGTTAGGGAATGGTAAAATATATCAAAAAATAAAACAAAAGGAATAAAACTGATTAATCTCATTATTGAATAATCTGCGGCTTAAATTGTTGATTTGTCATATCTGGTAGCCTATACAATTTAGAAAACACAACAAAAATGCCCATCTCGCTTTTCCAAAGTCCAAATGTAAATGTAGGTTTGAATGTCGTATGAAATCCTGGGCTAGCCTTGCTAAAGGACAAGTAACTTTGTCACTTACATACTGCTCTGTGATCTGCTGATGAACGTCCATGTCTCCCAATCCAAGACTCAGTTCTCCGCTCTGAGTGATAACAGCGCAGTAAGTTGCTGTGTTTTGCTCTTCTAGCCTGAGCACACCGCTTGTGTTCTGAGAGAAATAAGAAATAAAGTCAAGAACTTAACATTTACATTTATAATTCTAAAAGAGATTGTAATCATGTTTAATAATAAACAACTGTTCATTTTCACAAACCATATGTTTGCAATAGTTCAACACTGCTTCGCTGTGTGAATCAGCTCCAGTAGCTGAGATGAACAGGGGAGGACGGCCTAAACGACTCAGAGAGTCTGGAAGGAAAGCACCAGAGGTGTGAGCGTGAGATAATCAGATTTGAAGCACTGTTGAACACAATGTGCATCTACATTATCAGATGAAAACACACCAGCAATGTTCCGTCCTACACCACCAAATGACTGACAGACACTTCCTGGGTTGGTCTGTCCAAACTGAAAGAGACATGTTTTCTCAGAAGTAACCAACAATAATTTGCCCTTACATGATCTGCAGTAGTTTAGATGAATCAAACTTACATGAAGTGTTCTCGTCTTTCCTTTTGCAATAAAATCAACGTTAATTCCCCCTATGACAACCTGTAAAAGAACAGCATTGTGGGTACTGTATTTTGGAAAATGACTAAACAAGTGCATTGTATGTGTTTTTACTCACTATATCTGAGTCTGATGAGTGTTTTCCATGATGATGAGTCTGGCATCTGGACTTTCTCTCAGTCATTTGTTTTGACAGTGCACAGGCTATTTGACTGCCAACTTTAGCATTGTTATAAATAAGAGCAATATCTAAGAACATAACAGGTTAAGGGCATTTTAGTTGTGATATACTGCACTTTAACATTGTCTGGCCTATGAGAAAACAACTTTCTCAATCTTCTTTACGCCTCTTCCTTTCCAAAGAACGTGACATGTTCTCTGCTTGATGATGATTCCGATTTTTCGAAGGATACTGGCCTGAAGGGACTTTCCCTCAGTCAGCTCATTGACCTTTTGAAGAATGAATGGCGTCACATCTCTTCCTGTTATACCTTTAGCACTGAGTAAATGAAAAACAAGAGAAGAGAAAATTATAATTTTTCTGGCTGAGATAAACTGTCTATTTGATTCACTTTGTCACGACCATAAAGAGATCCAGACAGGGATTTTCCTCTGATGATATTGAGCTAGTATCTCAGGTGTTGAGAAAACAAAAAGACAACAGATTACGAGCCACGCAGAACTTCTGTACCTCGCCTCTGCTACTGCAGCCTGTATGGCTTCCTCTATCAGCTGACCGGCTGCTGCATGCTCCTCTGGGATGGGCACCGCTAACAGGACGCCACTTTGGAGATCCAGAGACAGAGTGCTTGCTGAATAACGCAAAAAAGAAAAACAGATCCACATTTATAACGGGTATTAGTAAAAAATAAGTGTAAATAAATATTCAATCTTGACCTTGGTGTGTTCAGGGTCCAGGATATACAATGTAGATATATACCAATGAGCGCTGCAGCTTCCTCAGGGTTGCCGACTTGGCATGGAGAAGTGAATCCGCTTTGTGGAGAGAAGAAGGCTGGGAAATTCTTTGACGCTCCATAAGTGGCCACACAGACACCCTGCGTCTCCTAATAAAAGATACAATAACTGTCAGCTTTATTCTAGTAATTAAATAATTTTGTACCAACGAAACATATCCACTTTCTTCTCTCTTTCCTCTACTGATCATATTGACTGTTAATTATTTTTTCCTTTCTATTGAAGGCGATCTATATATTGGTCTCATACACACACGCACAAACACACCATGTCCACCCCAACTTGCACTGATGCCATCACCAATTAAAAACAAAAACAGAAAATAACCTATAGTTTAGAAATTCTATAAGTAAAGTCACTACAAGCTAATAAGTTAAATAAAGCAAAGCATATTTGGTTGATTACAGTACAAACTCAAACATGAAAACACAGTATCAGTATTATTGTACAGTGACAACATTATCTCAATATTCTTACAAGGAACTCCAGGGTGCGACCGATGTCCAGAATAGACTTGACACCAGCAGAGATGACTGCAATGGGAGTCCTGCCGAGCTCTGTCAAATCTGCACTGATGTCCAGACCTGGAGGAAAAACCATTTACTCAGTTGTGACTGATGGTAAGCCTTCACACAACATGACATGAGTCTAACTTATTCCTCTTGACATACCAAAAAGACAAACTTACTGTCCTGACACCATTGGTGTCCTTACACATGGAGGAGTTCCTCAGGGTGAACTATCCCATCACTTTTATATAATATCTGGATCATAAGTGCACCCTCATCTCATTTCATGGTCTTGGTTATCAAATCCAGCTGACACACATGTGAAAGGAATATGTTGTCATGGTTTGTTAAGAGTAATTAGTTAGTGTCGGTATGCGTAAAGTATCTATTAGTCTGCTTACTGTTCTCTCCGCCTCTGTGAACTCCTCCGATGCCCCCTGTGACAAACACAGGGATGCCAGCTCGATGTGCTGCTATCATCGTGGCTGACACCGTCGTTCCCCCAGAGAGACCCTGAGTGAATAGGACAGCAAACAAAAAGTGACAGACTCAGGTAGTTTTGAGATTATTTTCAGAGGAGTGTGTTGTGGTCTCACTTTGCTCATGACGTAGGGCAGATCACGGTGGGACACTTTCAGGGAGCTCTTGCAGAGGGCGAGATGTTCAAGTTCCTCTGACGACAGACCAACATGGACTTCACCCTCGATCACTCCGACCGTGGCTGGAGTTGCTCCTTCAGCCCTCACAAAGGCCTCCACCTGCTTCGCTGTGCTGCATTACAACATTAATGACATTCATAATCAGTGATTAAAGCAACTTTTAGCTGCAGGTATTAAAGTTGACTGACACTTAAAATGGGGTACCTCAGGTTGTGTGGATAGGGCATGCCATGTGTGATAATAGTGCTCTCCAGTGCAACCACTGGTTTGTTTTCTGCCAGCGCCTTAGATACAGATGGATGAACTCTGAAGAGGCTGCCTGAGAGAAGAGGTGCCATTTACATTCATAAATCATCATTATTACTATCAGTATGTTATGCAATGTGCGTACATTATACTTTTAAGTGTTGAGAGCTATAATGAGAGGATGCATTTACCACTTTTGCACAATCTGCTTTGAAAAGTTGCGATTCCTCTTCTCAGGATGAGTGCAGAGGCTCTCTGCAGCACCCTCATTCTGTTCGGATTTTAAGGGAAACCCTGGAAACATTTTTATTTTAGTTTTTGAATCTAACAGAAAAACTGTGTCCGCTGATTCTTGTATACCAACATATGCCATTCAAGTTCCTTGGACTTATGTCCCTTTTTAAAGATAGTTTTGATGTTTGTTTTTAGACTTTGTTTGACTAAAAAGATTAAGAGTGAGACTGGACATCAAGAGAAAGGAACATTTACTTGATTAATTGGTTGATTATGGTTAAACACTTATGGAAAATAAGTGCACACACGTGTTCATTCCATCATACATTAAAAGATTACAGTCCCACATTAAACTACAAAAACAATGCCTCGATCAAAGCTTCATTTTCACTGTTCTTCAGAATGAATCACAAACAAATATGCACTGTTATTCCTAAATTCACCTCACGTAGACTCCGTTATTTGAAAGAAAACATTTCATATATACAGTGTGTTAAACCTAATTGTCATGTAGACCGCATCTTAAAGAAAGGGCTGTATAGGTCGCACACATTGTGCTTGTCAAAATCAAACCAATGAACAATATTACCTCAGCTACTTGAAGGGACAATATAGGCTGCCAGGTTGCATCACACTCTGCAGTGTGTTCTCTGCCATTGTGAAGATTTTCTTTGCTCCAGTTAGTTTGGACAAATTCCTACCAACCCCCCACCCCCCATTTTTGGGGCCACACTCAGAAATCGACACCCAAATTCCAGTGCATGGCTCAGTAGTATCGTTATCTTTTTTTCCCTCTTCACTGCATTTATGCACTAAACAGTGTTGTTTGAAATGTATCACATTGTCAGAACAGAACATTTCAGTCAATACTTTACCAATGATTTTGCCAAAATTGCACATTTAACAGTGTTTTTAATGTAATATTTCATCAATAACACAAAGAGGATCAGAGACTCATCAACAAACATTTTAAATTACAATGAAAACATCTGAAAGCTTCAATCTGAAGGTGTTCTCAACTTTCACTCATTGCTGCTCACATGCTCTATGCAAGAGGAGGGAGACCATTTACCCGTGCTACAAATACTGACTATTTAATCAAAACGTCCATGCTTTGCACAATTAAAAAAGTCCATAGCACACTACATTCAATCAGCTCATTACAATAAAAGACAGTGTCCTACAAACAGGGTATTTAGTGCTTACCTTCTCCCGTGCAACTAAAAGCAGTAAACTTTGCTCAGAAGGGTGAACTTTGACCTAAACTCTGTTTACACAGCCCAAAAGCGTCAACCGCCGATCACTGTGGTCTAAACTGGATTTGTCTCCTGAGAGAAAGAAAGAGATATTTAACAAAAATACAAGATGCAAAAATACTGGAGAACTTTTATGAAAACAATTACAGATGCACAGAAAAGATAAAGAAAATAAACCATTGATGAAACAATGAAGGTGTACAAAACGTTCACTATTAAAAAAGTCTACAGAGATTCATTCAATTTGTCCATTGCCCCATTACTTGATCCAGTATGAGTTAAATATCTGTATCCCCTGGTGATTTCTCTCAGCAGATTTCTTTGGTGTTACAATGTGACAGAACATTAATCACATCAAATTGAATAACTGATGGCCTGCTTTCGATAACTTCACCGAACAGTGGAGAAGATCTTCATTGATGTCTCCAAACACTGACGCAATTATATCAAACTGGCTGCATGTTCTCCCGAATCAGAGAGTGGAACTCAACTGAGGTGCACATTTGAAACTCTTCAGTGACGTAAAGTCCTGTTTTGTCTCCAGTGAAATCCCTTTCTTCTGTCTTAACATGACTGGTGACTTGGGTTGAGTCGGGTACGCAATACGTGATGAGGTTTATGGTTGTTTTTGCATCGTCGTGGATCTCAACTGAGGTCTTTGAGCTTCCCAGTAATTCCTCTTCAAACCACTGTGGATGCTCCAGCTGGTATGCATGAAAAGCCTCTATGGCATCCCGCAGGGCTCTACCTGAGGGACAGAGATAGTACTCTTCCTCTGAAAGCCCCTCAATGAGATTCACTCTGCCGGGCTCGTGCTTCTCAGTGTCCAGGATTCTGAAAAAGAGCTCCTCAAACTGTTTCATCAGCTTGTATCGCACTGTAATGTTGAAAGGTGAAGGAACATCTTCTTCACAGCAAACCTCATCAAAGTAAGCCACTATGTATTTTTTAAATGATGCAGATCGGACAAAATGGGGGACCATGAGGCTGAGGGCCGGACTGAGCATGTCCCCTACAGGTGAGCAGGCGTCCTCTCTCAGGAAAACCTGTTTGTCACCACACATGGCTCTCCATTTCGCTTGTACTCCTTGTGAGCACAGGATCAGTATCTTATCTGAAGAGCTTTCTATTTGGTCTCTGTGCAAGTCCAACCACTGGATGCTTCCCAGCACTCCCAGTCTTGTAGAGTCCAGCAGATCCAGGACCACTTCAGTACCACATTTGGATGCCAGAAAGGCACAGAGCTTGAGGACAATGGTTTTGTATAAAGGGTGGTCGAGGGAGTAGATGATGAGGACTCTTTTTCTGTCCTGCACTTTGAAACCTTCTGGTTGCTGTTTGGCAGCAGATGAGGACGTGTTCACAGGATCTGAGGGAAAGGTCAGGACTGTGCATTCATAAGAAGGCAAACCTTTCTGACAGTCTCTCCACAGTATATAAGCAAGACAACCTCCAATGACAAGCAGCCCCACCGTCGCCTTTATAATTAAAGTTCGTGGTGGATAATCTAAAAAAAAAGGAGACAAAATGTGAATTTAAATATTGTCATGCCTGTGTTTCCAAGTTAAATCTGAGGGTCTTTGCATGATGATTAACGGGATGGAAAAGAATTTTAAAAAAAAAAGATCTTTAATTATGGGATTAATTTACCTTTTCGTGTCTCAAACATTTATTCAAATCAGACAATCTGAGAAGTTTAAAAACTGAAAGACTTCTGACTCCTTCAACAAGGGGCCGTAAGTGAACAATGCTTTATTTTAAGGGGTCACAAGCCAAAAACGATCGGGAACCACTGATTTATGCTCTGCACCATATACTATGTACACTGTATTTTTATAAATATATCATACTGCATAGATGTCAAAAATCATACTTACATGGACATAAATCAATTATTTTCTCGGAGCGCCGACAGTCATTCTTGCATCGAACAAAAAATGTCTGAATCTTAGAAAGAAGCAGAGTAAGGTGAGCTTTTAATGTTAAATCTTTGTCAACTGTCAGGGATGAGACAATAAATTAAAATTAAACTCACCATTAACAGCATTTCACATTGTGAAAGCTGCCACCAATCAAACTCAAAGGACACATTCAGCGATGCTCTGTTTTCCTATGGATGAAGGAAATGACAATGACACAGTATCATGTGTGCAAAACAAGCAGAAAATCATATGATGTTAGACTCACAACATAGTTACTCTTCAACCATCATCATTGAGCATATAAGTGAGAAATACAGTGTAATTACCTTTGAGACATTCTTTAAGCAATGGAAACCATGACTCTGGATGGAGACTTGGTATCTCTCTGAATACTGAGCTGCCTCAAAACCGACAACAATCGAAAACTTTCTACGTTCCTCATTAAGAGACACAGCCGCGGTCACATGAGGAGTCCACAGACTACCTGAAATAACAAATATACGATATACAAATATAACAGTTATTGTAAATAGAGGTATATCGCGACAGCCCCAATGTACAAAATGTAAAAGTTACCATTTTCCAGACACATTCGGGCCTTTTGGATTCTGCTGTCATCACATCCTGGCCATGACAGTAAATATTAGAGATGATTAGAGCATTTTACACTTTGGTTTGGACACTTTAAGAAGCTCTTCAGATGCAAACCACTTTTTTTTACATTTCCATTTCCAAGGGGTGACAAAGTGTGATAAATGTGAAAGAAAAGTGATAGTTTTGGTAAAAGAATCATTGTCACAATATTGAATTGATCTTCTTTTGTTTCTGTTGTTACTACTTCCTGATTCAAGAGCACAAATCTTTTAACATTGCTTATTTTAATCGTGGTAATGACACCTGACGTTTTCTCTCGTAAGCATGTAATTACAAACCAACAAATAATCAATATAACTTTTAACCTTGTTTGTACAGCAAGCATATAATAAATGTCTCCCTGCTTTTTCATGCAGCTTTCGGGGATCTGGAGGTAACTCACCTGGGATGGGAATTTGCTTTGTTTTCATGTAGGGTCCACTGTCAGGTTCTGGCAGATTAAAAACAGACACCATATATGTATGGCGAGGCTCTACTACGACTCCGTCCAAGGAAAATGTACTCTATTAAAGAAAAACAAATCTGTAAAGGCTGCTATGCCACTTTCATAGCAATAGTTAGGCAAGTCTTTCACAAACGTATCTTACCTTCCTATACGTTGGATTAGGCTGCTGGCTGAGGTTGTAAGAAAACTGCACACACATACTTTGATTTGTGCTTTCATCCAGAATTTTTATCTCTGATCCACCAAGGGCTATTGCACTTCCTGTAAATAGAAGAGAACGTTTATTTTATATGAATGATTGAATCTCTGATGCCTGATTTTCTATTCACCTTTGACGAAAGACCGTTTGGTTTTAAACTTGTATTTGATGCATTTTAAATTGTGAGCTACAATGTGGGCTTTATTTGGTCACAGAACAGCAGACTTCAGCAACACTTACCATCCCCCTTTATTCTCCAGGTCATATTCACAACAGGTTCGTCCATCCAGACTCCCACATTCACAGAATCCCATTCTGGGCCAATAGGAGCACTTACTCGAGGTACGATCATGCGTTTGTCTGAGCAGTTATCTGACATTTAGAGAACGGTGAACAGCATATATTAGTGGTTAAGTGTGTGGGCAGATGGATCACATACATGCCAAATTAAAATGTCAAATTAAAATATTTTCCTGTATAAATCATCCCCCATCCTATGAATAAAACCAAATGTATGTTTTAGGAATTAAAACAAAGTATATATATTTTATTATACTGATTTGACAAGTAAGATACTTACTAAGTTTGCAGTGTTCAAGACCCTGGGACAAAAACAAAAGATATGTTGTAATGGCTTGATGAATTAAGGATTGTAAATTCCCCTCAGTTTACTTTTTAGTAGATTGCTTGTATTTATTTCTTAATAGATTTAATCCTCACCAGTTGGTTGCAGTCGGGACGCTTGTCCAGAATCCTCAGAGAAGACGACACTGGGAGTCCAGCAGTCAAATAAAAACAGAAAAGAGGAACATGGATCATTCTGGCGTAGCGCCACAACAAATGTGGAAAAGCTTTAAAAACTATTGAGTAAACAAGCACAATAATGAACTCCATTTAGAGAGATGGTTCAATGACAAACAGAGAAAGGCTCAGTGTGATCCGATTTCAACCAGTGTGTCGTGTTTATCAGGTGCTGACATCTGAATACACAGGAAGAACACTCTTATCCAATGTGGTTTGTAGTTTCCATTTGCTTGGGGAACATTGCATATGCTGAAAATATTTATCTCTCAAACTTACACAGAATTATGTGAAAAATACAAGTTAAGTTTTTACTCATTGCAGTGTGTATGTACACGGTAGATTGATGCCAACTGCAAACCAATATGTCAAACCATAAAACAGTCACTAGGTGGTAGCAGTGACCACATTTACAAAAGGTTAAATTCTTGTTTAAACACTTTAAAACTCATAAACAGGAAATGAGGCGGCAAAGAGTCATGCAACAAAGGTCTTAAACTGGAGAGGCCACCAGGGCACCTCTTAAACCACATTTTAATATCCAGCCTGACCTCACAAAAATAAATATACAGATACCAGAACATCTCGGTCCAACACATGAAGGCCCAGTGTGACCACCAAACCTTCAGCTATTCATTGTTTGTTTATTGGGATGCATTCTACGGGACAAAATGTGCCCGTGGCCATGTGATAATTCCTGTTGCTTTGTCTCAGTGTTACCACGTCTGACCAGAATAGACTGCAGCGGTTGCATTTGATCTCTGCTCAGTGTGAGAGTTGTGTCTCGGCCATTGTGATTCAGTCGCCATGATAGCACTTTCATCCAAATGTAACATGACTTTTATTCAGTACAGCTGAGTTGGTTGTGTGTTCAGGATTTAGCATTTATAAGCAGTAGACACACTATAATGTTGAGGTGATCAGATAGAAGAACATTTTTTGACAATTATAAATTCTCCTTTAAAACTCTTCCTATGAAGCATCCATACGGGTATATAATGTTAGAAAATAATATGTGTCAGCCTGTAATGTTTTTGTTTTGACTAGTTTTTCTTTCATTCATGATGTATGCTCTATATTGTGCTTTGAATAGAAACAGTGAATATAATTGATGTTGTTTTGTCTGCTTTTCTTTCCTATGTCTTTGATTAAATTATTGCATAGAGACTGCAGATGAAAATGAGCCTTTTGGCTGAATGGGACATATACTGATGTTTATTAATGCGTGTTGTCCCTGATAAATGAAGGATTAAAGTAAAATTAAGTTGTTGTTTTTTCTTACATACAAGCAATCTAAAACATATTCCGGTTTGCAAACTTGCTTGTCTCAAATTGTCTCCAAAAATATTTTTAATTAAAAAAAACTAAAAAAGATGATATCCCATATACATGATAGAATTTAACAAATTGTCTTCCGCCGTCTTTCAGCCTCACCTGCACTTTGTGTGTTTAATGCTATATTGGTTAATGTTAGCGTATACCAACACAGTAAACTAAGATAGTGAACATGGTAAACATAAATACATTCTCAACATTAGCTTGTTAGCACACTGATTTTAGCATTTAGCTCAAAGCACCACAGTGCAGTACAGCCTCACATGATACATGTAGCTGTAGACTTCTAGCTGTAACATGAAACCTGTGAATAAAGCTTCAAGTTCAACTTAATAAATTACAACCTATCATGTTTTTAAAGCTTACTTTAAAAGGCACTTTTAAAACTATTGGTCTATGATGTTAAGTCTTTGCCAGAACCAGAACACCTCATGACACAAATTCAAAAAAAAAAAAACATGCTCAGTGTGCCTGATATCTCCAGAGAGTCAGCTGTCAGTTAGCTGAAGGGCGTGTGAGTTGTGTCCTTGTGCAATGCTATCGCATGCGATAAATGTCACGGGTTAAGGGCAAATCAAAAAGGGTTGCCCTGTGATGCAACAATTGTCAGGTGGACTGGGGGTCTATTTTAGCGAGCCATTCACATGAGACTTTGAAAACATAAATCTTTCACTAATAATCATGAAGTGCTTTTTCTTTTCCTGACTCGGTCCTGTCGCTGCCCTCTCTGATTCTCATCTTCAAGGTAAGTTTCATATCAAGTGATAAACCGTTGCTATTTCTCACAAGAAAATAAAAGTCAATCAGATATATTATAGACATTACAGGGGGCTCTTTAATCTCACATTGCTAGATTAACTTCTTGTCCAGCTGTGACAGCAGCCCAGCTATCTAAGCCTCTACAGCCATTTACAGCCAAGTTTGTGTAAAGTCGAGTCCGGCTTTAATTTAGAAAGTGATGAAGACTATATATCAGCATGCTCCTGACACATCTAATGTGGCTGGTATTTATGTGAGGGAATCCCTGCTATGTCGCCACTTTTGTCAGGGTCTCACAGTAACTTTTCAAACACAGCTTTCCAGCTTTCGCTTCTATGACATCTCAAGCTCCTCGTAACCTGAGGCTTGTACTGCCTGCCAAAGTATTGGCGGCTGGTAACGGCAGGCTTTACCCGTCGTTGTGGACGAAAAGCTGCTGTGATAAGTGATGATGGCTCGCTCTTATGAAGTGGCAATCTCCTGGGTGGAGGGGCAAGGCTGCAGGCTTCTTGTAATTGTCTGCTGCTTGGCTCATTTATCTGGACTTTCGCACCCTGTCAGACTGGCTTAATTTAAATTGGATATATTACTGTGTTGTGTCAGATGCATTGACATGCTTTCATCCTTCTTTAACACCTATATATTTATTTATATATAATGCTATTGTTCAACCCATTAAAAATAGGAAGTATTGTGGTTTTAAAGCTAATGCCACAAAGAGAAGGTCAAAGAAATTGAGAGACGGTGGAGGAGATGGCTCACTTTATGCTTGAACGATAGATATATCCAAATTCAAGAGTAAAATAAAAAATGAGCCGTGTTGTGGATACTAAAGGATTGGGATTGAGAACTGTTTTATCTCCACAGTTCTGATGTTGTTTGTCTCTTGGCTACCAAAACTTTCACTGGCACCATCAAGGCCACAGCAGCTGCTGGGAGCAGCAAAGCATGGTGTCAATGTGTCTAAATATAGCCGAGCAGCAGGCTCCTTGTCAGCTCTTTTACAACAATAGAAAGGATTAACTTGTCCTGCAGGAACACTAAAATGTATCTGACAGCCCGTGTGGACAATTAGACGAATTAGATGTATTACACTGTGAACTAGTTGGATTAATCAATCACATTAACTGTAGAAAACACTACTGAGACTCTGATAAATGCCCATAATAATCATCTGTGTAATCTGTAAAACTATGTGGAGTAGTGTCAAAAATACATGCAATGCAATAAAAAAGAGTTAATGCACCTTGTTTCTGCTCCAAAGGAACCATAAACTGCAGACATGTCTGAGGGGTGAGTATTGATCTCTAGAGGGAGCCACAATGACGTACATCATTTCTATATTAAATGATAACATATTTTTATAACTCTTGTCTACTTTTCTTGTCACATGTTGATGAAGACCAGTAAGTCAACATTATTTCTTTCCCAATCATTAATAAATGAATGATTGATTAATGCATTGATGAAAATCTCTACTGATGACTCTATTTGATGTATAAAAGTATTCTTATCTTTCTCACAGAAAAAGCCGAAATATTCAGCAACACGCCGACTGTATTTGAAGGTAGGTCTTGTAGACCTTTAGGCCGAGTCTGAACAGTAGTTAACGATACGCCACTTGTGCTAAGACCGCTTTAGTTTTCTTCCAGGCTTATTAACGCCTGACTATCTTACAGTCCAAACTGCTGAAGAAGGCAGCTTCTATGCTGGTAGCTGAAAGGGAAGATAAGAAACTTGAGAAGGAAAGAGTTGTGAATGAGTGCTTCCCTCCGCTGACGCTGTCAGGTCTGTCAGCCCAGGAGCTCAAGGTAATACTGACAGAGCAAATCAAGCTGATTCGGTCATTAATATCATTCTACAACATCTTGACGGTTTTCTTTTTCTTTACAGGACATCTGCAAAGAACTAACTAGTAAGATTGATGTTGTAGACGAAGTTCGTTATGATATAAAGGTGAAGGTAGACAAAAATCAGACAGAGGTACAGTGAAACTGAATCACACAAAAATAACTCTTCATATATTTACTGACCTATCGGGATGTTGAAGTGTGTGTTTGTTGCACAGATCGAGACACTAATTCAGAAGATCTCTGGCCTGAAAGGGACAAAGAGGCCCAACTTGAAGAAGGTGAAGAAAACTACAGACGACATGCTGGGTGCATGCTCCGACACCTCCAAGCTCATGAAGGCTGATTTCAAGGCCAACCTCAAGACAGTGAAGAAGGAGGAAGATAAGGTAAAGCTGGTAACGCTGCGACATCCGTCCATAAAATAAGAAACTGCATTATTGAGTAGATTACATCTATCTTTTATCATTGCAGAAGGACGAAGTGACTGACTGGCGCAAGAATGTGGAGGCCATGTCTGGCATGGAGGGCAGGAAGAAGAAGTTTAATACAACACAATAAGAAGGTGCCATGTTACTAACACATCATCTTTCCTAAAGTAAAGTTTAAGGTTGAAATGTTTTTATAAAATATATATGTAATCCCTGTGTTCGTCTTTATTTCAGAATCATTGTCGAAATTCAAGGAAGAAGTTTTCATTTCAGGATGAAATGAAACTGGTTTTGTAAAGAGTGATATCAACCACAGGGACTCGTAACAGATTAGATCAAAGCACTATTTAGATTACACAGTATTAAAAGAAGTTTTACCTGGATTTAATGAATGTAAAAATACCACAGTACGCCATGGATGTAATCATATAACTTGTATAGTACACTGTTCCCTTTGCATATTGAAATTGTGTAAAGAATAGACTGATTATCTTTATGAGTTTGTCTTTTAAAGTGCACTATTTGTATCACGCAGATGTCTGCAAAACCTGTGCTGCTGATTAAACGACCGTAACAATTTCACTGCTTAGTTTCTTTGGTTTGTTCAAATTTCCAGATTTAATGTTTTGTTTCCGATCTATCCAATAATAGATATAATGATGTTATTGGATAGATCGATTCTCTACTCCTGGTGTTGATGAGCAGTGTGTGTGTGTGTGGGGGGGGGGGGGGGGGGTGACGGGAGTTTAATCAGCAGCACAGGTATTGCAGACATCTG